CGGGATTGGAGGAAGGCTCATTAACAGCCTGTGATATGCAGATGACACAACCTTGCTTGCTAAAAGTGAAGATGATTTCAGCACTTACTGATGAAGTTTAAAGACTACAGTCTTCAGTACTGATTACATCTCAACATAAAGAAAAAAAAAAAAAATCCTCACAAGTGGATCCAAAAGCAGCATCATGATGAAATGGAGAAAAGATTGAGCTTGTCAAACATTTCATATTACTTGATTCCACAATCAACACCAATGGAAGCAGCAGGCAAGAAATCAGATGACATCTTGCACTGGGGAGACTTGCTACAAAAGACCCGTTTAATGTGCTGAGGAGCAAAGATGTCTCTTTGAAGACTGTGGTAGTTAAGGTTGTGTGTTAACTTGGCTGGGCGTGGTTGAGTGGCTGGGCACCTGGTTGTGGTTATTCCTCATGATGAGTTGTTGCTGTTGTTGTTAGGTGCTGTCCAGTTGTCTGACTCATAGCGACTCTAAACACAGCAGAATGAAACACCTCCCGGTACCGTGCCAGCTCCATGATCCTTGCTATACTTAAGCCCATCATCAGAGCCACTGTGTCAATCCATCTCGTTGAGGGCCTTGTCCTCTTTTCTCAACCCTCCATCTCCTACTCCAAAGCATGACATCCTTTTCCAGGAAATGGTCCCTTCTGATAATAAGACCAACGTAGGTGAGATGATATATCTGGCTATTCCTGCTTCCAAGGAGCATTCTGGTTGCATTTCCTCCAGGACAGATTTGTTAGTTCTTTTAGCAGTCCATGTTACTTTCAGCATTCTTTGCCAACATCACAGCTCAAAAGAATCAGTTCTTCAGTCTTCCTTATTCATTGTCCACCTCTCACATAATTGAGGCAATTGAAAATATCATGGCATGTGATAGCCACATCTTAGTCCTCAAGGAGACATCTTTTCTCTTCAGATGAGATGAAAGAGGTCCTTTGTAGATGATTTGCCCAGAGCCATGTCATCTGATGTCCTGACTGCTGTTTCCATTGGCATCAATTGTAGAACTAATCAATGTGAAGTCTTTGACATTTCAGTTGTCTCTCCATTTATTGTGATGCTGCTAATAGGTCCAGTTGTGAGGATTTTTGTTTTCTTTATATTGAGGTGTATTCCATACTGCAGACTGTAGTCTTCAATCTTCATCAGTAAGTGCTTCAATTCATCCTTACTTTCACCAAGCCAAGTTGTGTCGTCAGCGTATCACAGATTGTTGATAATTGTTCCTCCATCCTGATGCCACATTCTTCTTCATATAGTCCAGGTTCACAGATTATTTTGCTCAGCATATAGATTGAATAAGTACAGTAAACTTACAACCCTGATGCACTACATTCTTGATTTTAAACCATGTAAAAGATCTCTTTAAAGTGCTGAAGATCAAAGATGTCTCCTTGAAGACTCTGGTAGTTATGGTTGTGTGTCAACTTTGCTGGACTTGGTTGAGTGGCTGGGCAGCTAGTGGTAGTTATTCTTCACGATGAGTTTCTGCTGTTGTTGTTACGTGTCGTCCAGTCATCTCTGACCATAGTGACCCTACACACAGCAGAACAAAACACCTCCCAGTACCATGCCAGCCTTTTTCTGTTCAAAAGACAACCTCCTGGTCTATGTACAGGTTCCTCACGAGTACAATTAAGTGTTCTGGAATTCTCATTCTTCTCAATGTTACCCACAATTTGTTATGATCCACACAATCAAACGTTTTGGCATAGTCATTGAAACACAAGTAAACATCTTTCTGGTATTCTTTATTTTCAGCCAAGATCCATCTGACATCAGCAATGATATCCCTCATTCCACTTCCTCTTCTGAATCCAGCTCGCATTTCTGGAAGTCCTCTTTAAATATACTGCTGCAACAGATTTTGAATTATCTTTAGTAAGATTTTACTTGTGTGTGATATTAATGATATTGTTTGATAATTTCCATATTCTGTGGGATCACCTCTCTTTGGAATGGACACAAATATGGATCTCTTCCAGTCAGTTAGCCAGGTAGCTGTTTTCCAAATCTCTTGGCATAGCTCAGTGAGTGTCTCCAGTGGGGCATCCATTTGTTGAAACATCTCAGTGTGTATTCCATCTATTCCTGGAGCCTTGTTCTTCACCAATTCCTTCAGTGCAGCTTCAACTTCTTCCTTTAGTACCATTGTTCTTGAACATATGCCACCTCCTAAAATGGATGAAGATCGACCAGTTCTTTACAGTAGAGTAACTCTGTGTATTCCTTCCATCTTCTTTTGATGCTTCCTGCATCATTCAATATTTTGCCCATAGAATCTTTCAATATTGCAACTTGAGTCTTAAATTTTTTCCTCAATTCTTTCAGCTTGAGAAATGCTGAGCATGTTCTTCCCTTTTGGTTTTCTAACTCCAGGTTTTTGCACATTTCATCATAGTAATTGACTTTGTCTGCTTGAGTTGCTCTTTGAAATCTTCTGTTCAGCTTTTCTCTTATCATTTCTTCCATTTGCTTTAGCTAGTCTTCACTCAAGGGCAAGTTTCAGAGTCTCTTCTGACATCCATTTTTCATCTTTTTAATGACCTCTTGCTTTCTTCATGGATGATGTTCCTGATCTCATCCCACAATTCTTCTGGTTTTGGTTATTGGTGTTCAGTGCATCAAATCTATTCTTCAGTTTGTCTCTAAATCCAGGAGGGATATATTCAAGGTCATATTATGGTTCTCATGGACTTGTTTTAATTATTTTCGACTTCAAGTTGAACTTGCATATGAGGAGTTGATGGTCTGTTTCACAATCACCACCTGGCTTGGTTTTGGTTGAAGATATTGAGCTTTTCCATTGCCTCTTGCCACAGATGTAGTCACTCCAATTCCTGTGTACTCCATCTAGCGAAGTCCACATGTAGAACCACCATTTGTGTTGTTGAAAATAGCAATTGCAATTAATAAGCCTTTGGTCTTGCAAAATTCTATTATTCAATTTCAAGCATTATTTCTGTCACTAAGGCCAAATTTTCCAAGTACCAGTGATTCTTCTTTGTTTCCAAGTTTTGCATTCCAGTCACCAATGATAATTAACACATCCTGATTGCATGTTCAGTCAATTCCAGACTGCAGAAGTTGATAAAAATCTTCAATTTCTTCATCTTTGGCTTTGGTGGTTGGTGTGTAAATTAGAATAACAGTAGTATTAACTGGTCTTCCTTGTAGGTGTATGGATATTATCTTCTCAGTGACAGCATTGTACTTCAGGACAGATCTTGAAACATCCTCTGTGATGATGAATGCCATCCCATTCCTCTTCAAATTATCATTCCCAGCATAGTAGATCATATGATTGTCTGATTCAAAATGGCCCAAACCAGTCCATTTCAGCTCACTAATGCCTAGGATAACAATCTTTATGAGTTCCATTTCATTTTGAACAATTTCCAATTTTCTTAGATTCATACTTCATACATCCCTGTTCTGATTATGATGAAACTGGCAATCAACTCTATGGTGGGATCTACCATAAGCAGCTGAGTAGCTGCTTAAAGGATTTGATCTGCTTCTTGCATATAACAAGCAGCTTTGGGAATGGTCTCTAGCTCATGGCATGCTTCAACCCTGCATGTAGCTGAGTCATTGTTCAGCAGCCTGCCATGCTCTACTGATTTGGGGACTTTCAGTGGACTGGACTCAATAACCTGCCATGTTGTTTGGTAATATCAGGATTGTGCTATTTTATTTGTTGACCTTGGGCTTATTAGTCTCAACATCCAGTAGCTTCCTAAGTGAAGAAATGCCTCTAGCTTCAGTGGGATGAGAGCAAGAGGTAAAACTGAAGTCCAAGGTTGAAAGGCTTTTACACAGCCCCTAGAGCCTGGCACTTGGAACTTGTACTTCTAGCCTCCAAAAAATTATAAGAATAAACTTCTGTTTGTTAAAGCCATCCTATTTGTGATATCTTCTGTTAGAGTGGCACTGGATAACCACAACAAAGACTAAGGTGCACCTAACCCAAGCCATGGTGTTTTCAATCACCTCACATGCATATGAAAGTTTTATAATTAGTAAGGAAGACCAAAGAAGAGTTGATGCTTTTGAGTTGTGGTGTTGGTGAAGAATACTGAAAGTACCATGGGCTGCCAAAAGAAGTAACAAACCTGTCCTGGGAGAAGTGCAGCCAGAATACTCCTTAAACATGGGAATAGCCAGACTTCATCTCACCTACTTTGGTCATGGTTCCAGAAGGGACCATTAACTGGAGAAAGTTCATGCTTGGTAAAGTACATTGTTAATGAAAAATGGGAAGGCCCTCAACAAGATGGATTGACACAGTGACTGCACCAATGGGCTCAGATACAGCAAGGATTTGGAGGTTGGTGCAGAACTGGGCATTGTTTCATTCTATTGTACATAGGGTGACTGTGAGTCAGAACTGACTCGGCAACACCTAAAAGCAACAACAACAACAAGAAGGAGCATTCCAGCTCGACTTTTTCCAACTTAGATTTGTTTGCTCTTGTGACAGTGCATAGTATCTTCAGTATTCTCCAGCACCACAATTCAGATGCATCAATTTTTCTCCAGTCTTCCTTAGTCATTGTCCAGCTTTCACATGCACAGCACATGAGATGATTGAAAATACTATGTTTTGGGACAGACACACCTCAGTCTTCAGAGTGACATCTTTGCCGTTAAACACTTTAAAGAGGTCTTTTGCAGCAAATTTATGCAGTGCAATAAATCTTCTGCTTTCCTGACTGCTATTTCATAGGCTTTGATTGTGGTTCCAAGGAAAATGAAGTCTCTGACAAATTCGGTCTGTTGTCCATTTATCTTGATGTTGCATATTGGTCCCGTTGTAAGGATTTTTGTTTTTCTATATAAGATTCACTGGTATATTTTCCTTTAGGAGCAACATATTGTATTATAATTATCATTATGCTCTACTACAGTAAATTTTCATAAGTTTTACGTGATACAATCAACTGCTTTCTGTGGTGTTGTTCCACTTTGTCACAGGCCTACCCTTGTAGCAGTGATAAGGAATGTGAAGTTGGGAGATACTGTCACAGTCCTCACCAAGGATCATCAGCCTGCATGGTGTGCCGAAGGAAAAAGAAGCGCTGCCATAGAGATGGCATGTGTTGCCCTGGCACCCGCTGCAATAATGGTAAAGCTCCCTATGTATTGGTGGTCCTCTTTCTTTTCATGATGTTGTTATTTCTAGCTGCCATCAAGTTGGCCTCCAACTCAGCGTTATCCCATGAACAATAAAACAAAATGTTACTTGGTCTAGTGCCTTCCTCCTGATCTCTAAGATTGTGATCCTTAGAGATTTCACTGGTTGGTTCCTGGAAATGGATATCCAGGCCTTTCTTCCTAGTCTATTTTAGTCTGGAAGCTCTGCTGAAACTTGTTCAACATCATAGCAACAGGAAACATTCATCTGACTGTTGTTTGATGTCTTTGGCCGAGATTCTGGCTAGAAATCTAACTCAGGTGTCCTGCTTAGAAAGAGAGAATTCTACCACTGAACATTTCATGTAGGCCTGTAGTGAAAGTTAGGCTAACTTCTTAATCAGACACCTGAATTGTAAGAAGCCTTTCAGGAATCTGGCAGGGGTTAGATTATGGCTTAAATATGTGTAAAATTACCTGGATGACCTCTCAAAGCTTAATTTTCCTGGCCTTTGATCACATTTTGAATTTGTAATCCTAGTGGCTCAATGGTTAAACACTTCACTGCTAACTAAAAGGTTGTCAGAACCCACCAGCTACTCCACAGGAGAAAAGAACTTATGATCTGCTCCCATAAAATTACAGCATAAGAAATCCTCTGGAGCAGTTCTACTCTGTCCTATGGGGTCACTATGAATGCCTTACACAAGAGGTAGATGAAAGAAGACCTCACATCATTAGAGATATTTACAGTGTAGGTAAGATTGTTTTGTTAATTAAAAAGAACAACCTGAATCCTGAGGATAAATCTTGTTTAAAAACAAGAATTAAAAGAGCAATTGTAATCAAGTTGATTCTGACTCATGGTGACTCCATATGTATTAGAGTATAACTGTATTCCAAAATTGGTTTTTTTTTTTTTTTTTAATTTATTTTCAGTTTTCACTATAGCACTATCCCAAGCATATAAAAAGACCATGAGGGCAGCTTTTTCTTCTTCATCCTACCTCCTCTAACTTCATGAGTGGAACAAAATCACCATCAGCATCCCAATGTTGTTTCTTTTGAAAAGGAAGTCAGACATGCCACCACTCTCCAACTTTTTACCAATTCTGACACCAACTGTACCTCCCATGGTACTCTACTTTGCTGCTATGTTCAATAATTTGTTGCAGTGGGTGCACAGATCTCTCAGACAATACTCACAATTATGGGGTTTATTAGGTAAGCAACAGGTTACAATTCAGGTTCAGGAATGCTCAGGATACATTTATTGAATCAGACCAGTCTTCCACTGTCATACTCTTAGGCATACCTCTCTTTGACCCTTGATCTCTCAGTCTGGTTTCTGCCCTGTTCTGGTAAGTGTTACAAAGATTTTTTAGTTTTGTTGATAGGTGCACACCAATCACTCCAGCAGCACACCTCCTTCCCAAAGGCACTTGGTTTTTTCAACCCATGGGCCAGCAAGCCTGCCATTCTGTCTTGTGCCAGTCTCTTGGTTCTTCTGTTGGTTCTCTCTGCCATCTGTCTGCCTATGAGGTCCAGTACTGGGATCTCCATCACAGTGATCTTAGGTCCAAGGATGCACTTCACTCCCAGCTCTTCATTGTCAGGAGAGTGGTGACACCCCCATTTTCCTCCTCTGTGATGGCTCATTTTAAGGCTGGTGAGATGGTAAAACTGACCAATCCTTACATTAGGATTCCATACACATTATTTGCACAGTCCCATCCCCACAAGTGTGCCATACATTTTATTTACATTATTAGCAAGCTATCCAATTCCCTTGGTGGGGATAATTCCACCCAGTCATCTGGTAAGAGTCACAAAGACCATTGCCAGAAAAGCCATACCAAGTAATTCACTGCAGCACAAAACACTTCACATGAATTCATGATAATCCAATGAAAATGGTTCTCATTTTATTCCTCTTTTTGCCAAACTCACCTGGTCTTGGCAGAAGCAAGATTCAAATTAAGGAAATCTAGCTTCAGAGTAAGACTATGCTGCATGCAATCTCAATAAATAAGTAAATAAATGAATAAAAAAGTGAATGGATGAATGAATGAATAAATACATAAGTTGCTTCATACCTCACATCAGGGGAATATTTGGATAAGCACTACATTTTATAGAATTGAATTAATCTAACTTCTTATATGACAACTTCTAGGCATTTGCATCCCGGTTACTGAGAGCATCTTAACTCCACATATCCCAGCTTTGGATGGTACTCGACACAGAGATCGAAACCATGGCCATTACTCAAACCATGACTTGGGATGGCAGAATCTAGGAAGACCGCATTCTAAGATGTCACACATAAAAGGTAAGGAATGCAGCCAGAATGGAAGTGAGAATGGCCAGATTTCTCTCACCTACTTTGGTCATGTTATCTGAAGAGACCCTTCCTTAGAGAAGGATATCATGCTTGGTAAAGTCAGTGAAAAAGGGAAGACCCTCAATAAGCTGGATTGACAAAGTGGCTGAAATGATGGGCTCAAACATAGAAAGGATTGTGAGGATGGCACAGGACCAGTGTTTGCTTCTGTTGTACTAGGGTTGCTATGAGTCCAGGCTGACTTGACAGCACCTAACAATAACAGCTTCTGTAGCTTTAAGGGTATTTTTTCCTTTCTCTTGTTGTTTAAGGAATAAAAAAATAATAAACTCCATTGATTTTAGGAAAAAAATCACAAAGAAGGTATTTTAATGGCAAGATTTTAAATGAATTTATTAATTTCCATTTTTGAAGATGCTAGAGGTTTTTTAAGGAGCTCCATTTGCACATTGGTTAAGACATTTGGCGGCTAACCAAAATGTCTTTACCAAAACATTTGGTTCTAACCCACCAGCTGCTCCATGGGAGAAGAATGAGGCAATCTGCTTCTGTACAGATAGATAGCCTTGGAAACCCTATAGGGTCGCTATGACTTAGAGGGTCACTATGAGTCAGAATCAACTTAATGGCAGTGGGTTTAGTTCGGTTTAGAGGTTTCTTAGAGGTTTTAAATTGCTAGAAAAGTATATTTCAGGAGAATTGTGGTACTCTGATCAACAGTACAATTTTATTAAATGGAATTGAGAAGAAATATTCATATAAGTATTGTTGTCATATATCAAATGATAAGCATTCTGAAAAATAAATGTGAAAGTGCTGCCATATGGTTAGATCACTTTCATTTTGAGTCTTTTTCTCATCTTTGATGATTCAGAAACTTTATTTTACTAAACAAACAGAGCATATAAACTACCAAATAATCGATTTCTGGTGGGATTACATTTTGACTATAAAATTCCCTTCCTGGTATCAAAATATTTCAGGAACCTAATCAGTAATAGTAAAATTTAAAAAAAACATGAAATTATTTTATCTTATGGAGTGGGATATTTTTTAAAGGAAGTTCTTTCCACCTGTATTCTGTGGAGTATTTCTCTTTAAAGATGTTCTGTGAACTAAAATATTCCTGTGTCAAATGAGTTTTGCAACAATGTTTACCTCCATTTTTAGAAATTTACAATAAACATTGGTATATTGAAGGCTCTGAGGAGTCCAACAATGAAAAAAATGATTAACTTTTTTTAACACTGTATTTCTCCACTTTATGTGACCAAAGAACTATTTTCCCACATTTTCCTGTCCTATAGAGCTAGTATCCCATATAGTATCTGACATATTAATCTGTCCTGGACTACTAATAATCACATTAGTAGTGATAAAGAGAGATTGACAAATAATTCCTCTTCTATTATCTCTTATCTACACTCCCTGAAGTTCTAAGTCTTTTTCCCATATCTCTTATTTCAGTGCCACCAAATTCACATATATTTATTACTGCATTAGTATATTTCTTTATTCCAACAGATACCTATGTCACAGCACATTTCCAAATTTACTAATTACTTTTTATTTAATTATACTTGTCATTTTCTAATAGCAAATAGAAAGGAATCCCATGCTGGATGGCTAGGGAGTTGTGTCCACATCACACAGTTATATCTGGGTTGGCAGATAACATTTCTGACCAACCAAATCAAACCAAACTTACTGCCTTGAGTCGATTCAACTCATAGTGGCCCCTCCTTGGGTTTCTGAGGCAGTATCTCTATGGAAGTTGCTTTCCTAGTCTTCCTTCTGACGAGGAGCTGGTGAGTTTGAACTGCCAGCTTTCTGGTTAGCAGTCAAATGCCTTAGACACTACATCACCTGAGCTCCCCTTTCCCCCGCCAAAGAACACAAAACACAAACGCACTGCCCTTCAGTAGGACCCGACTCATAGTGATCTCTCCTTGGGTTTCCGAGGCAATATCACTATGGAAGTAGATTGTCCCATCTTCCTTGTGAGGAGTGGCTGGTGGATTTGAACCACCACCCTTCTGGTTAGCAGTCAAATGATGTAGGCACTACACTACCAGAGCGCCTACCTGAGATTCCAGGAGCTAGTAAACTATGGTCCATGAAACTAATCTGTTCTACTACTTTTTTTTTTTTTTTCCTGTAAAGAATGTTTTATTGCAACACAAACCAGCTTGCTTGAATCAATTCTGACTAATGGCAACCCTTAGAGTAGAACTGTGATCCATAAGGTTTTCATGGGTGATTTTTCAGATGTTGATAGCCAAAGCTTTTCTTCTGAGGTACCTCTGAGTGGACTCTGACTCCCAACCTTTTTAGCAGCTGAGCTAGTTAACAGTTTCTACCACCTAGGGACTCCTTGAGGAGCTCTGGTAGCGTAGTGCCTAAAGCACTTGACTGCTAACCAGAAGGACGTTCAAACCCACCAGCCACTCCTCGGAAGGAAGGTTGGGCAATCTACTTCCGTAGTGATACTGCCTCGGAAACCCAAGGAGGGGTCGCTATGAGTTGGGTCTGACTCAAGGGCACATAACAACAACAACAACAGGGACTCCTTGTGGTACCTATACACCCCCATTCATTAACACCTTGTCTATGGCTGCTTTTGAAATAAAAATGCAGAGTTGAGAAGTTACAACAGAGCTCCTATGGCCTAGAAAGTCTATAATATTTGCTCTATGGCCCCTTACAGAAAAAGTTTGCCAATTCCTGCTTTCAATGGCTTACAGACCAATCCAACCATGTGTGGGTATTAGTTGCTGGCTTAAACCTTAAACTTTTTTTTTTTTTTTTTTCCCTTACTTAAATACTGGGATTTGTGACTTCATACGTTTTTGTGTAATGGGTCTGCTGATTCTGGGTCTGCTGGTCCTCTGATCATTTGTCCTCTCTCTGCCATATTGCAACCCTCTGCAGACTGTATTTCCCAAACTCCCTTTCAGATGACTATTGACTAGGTGTGATCCTAGTGGGAGATTTAAAGGTAGAAAGGAGGAATAAACTAGTATATTCCTCTACTTCTGTTTCCTCAAGTAGAGTTTCTGGAAGCAACTGTGTCTCCTCATGGATTTAACTTCTGCCAGATAGGCCTGTTATGATTTCAGTCTTGGCTAATAATCTAATTCTTGGATTCTAACATCACCAGATTCCAGTAGATGATAGTGGCTTGATTGACACCATTCTGTGAGTTTCCTCACCATGCTCTGGTCCTGCTCTTCTATAATTCTCTGTGTGATCAAATCTCTGCATTAAATATCATCTGTTTTAAATATTCATGGAGCTCTGGTGGTACAGTGCCTAAGGCATTTGATTGCTAATCAGAAGGTTGGCAGTTCAAACCCACCAGCCACTCCACAGAAGGAAGACTAGGCAACCTGCTTCTGTAAAGATGTAACACTTCAGAAGCCAAAACAGGGACACTGTGAGTCAGAATCGACTGGATGGCAGTGAGTTTGATTTTTTTGGTTTGTTCTGAATATTCAGAGTTTCTGTTTTCCTTGTTGGACTCTAATTGATACATGGTCTTAGGACTCCCTGAGAATTTCAACCTTCTCCTTGAATCAGAGCTTTTTTTTTAGACCTCCCAAAAGAGTAGCAAGTTAATTAATTTGAAAACACTTTTTTTTTTTTTCACTCTTCTAGTAGAAAAGAAAATAATGATAAGGAAAATATATAAAAGACACACTATGACCAAGTAAAAACAAGATGTATTAGTCATTAAATTTGATATTCATACCCCAAATAGTGGAAATAAATAATAATAAATTTAAGAGATTAGAAGAAGTTCAAGTTGGTATGCATCTAAAACTTTTCCATTGTAAGTGGTAAAATCATGGAAGGTATTGTATATAAAATTATTTTATGTGATTCTGATTGCGAAACAAAATTCTTTATAAAGTGTCGGGATCATACCTCTTCTTCACCATCTTTCTAGGGCATGAAGGAGACCCATGTCTGCGATCAACAGACTGCATTGAAGGGTTTTGCTGTGCTCGTCACTTCTGGACCAAAATCTGCAAACCAGTTCTCCATCAGGGGGAAGTCTGTACCAAACAGCGCAAGAAAGGCTCCCACGGGCTGGAAATTTTCCAGCGGTGTGACTGTGCAAAAGGTCTTTCTTGCAAAGTATGGAAAGATGCCACCTACTCCTCCAAAGCCAGACTCCACGTGTGTCAGAAAATCTGATCACCAATGGGGAAAGCCACAACTAGCTGACTGTGAATTTGTGTATTTAATGCATTATAGCATGGTGGAAAATAAGGACTGGAATTCATAAGAATGGCTAGAATGAGGTGTTTGATAAGAATACAGGTCCCATAAAGGAAAAGAGAACTGAGTGGTTGAGAATGCAGTGCTACCAGAGTGTTTCCATTATGCAACATATTTATGTAAATAATGTACACATTTGTGGAAATGCTATTTTTTTTTAAAGAACAGTGGAAATTACTGACGAAGATCCTGTGACTTTCCAATAGTTTAGGTTGTGCTGGAGGATAGATTTCCTTCAGGTTGCTGATTGCCTATAAAAATAACCTGAAAGCCATATTTCTAGTCAAAGTTATAGTTTCAATGACATATTCTTCACCCAGCATACCTTGACATATAATAAACTTGAAAACAAGAAAATAGTTGTCTAACAGGAAATAACAGCAAGGAGCAGAGTTAACTGGCAACAATGAATCACAGTTTAATTTAGAACACAATTTCTACTGTGACTAAAGGCCTTGGTAGATGAAAAAATGCAGCCTATATTTTCCAAATTATTTCAAAATAATGGGAAATCTTAGATATATATATAAGTGTTTCTTCCATGTATATGTGCATACACACACACACACACACATATATGTACATATACCTGAAAAAAACACTTTTTTTTTTTTTGCCTCAGACTGCATATTTATGTTTCTGGAAAATTTATTTTCACCTGTAGTTAATAAGAACTGGAATAATAAAACAAAAAAGTCCACTCAGATTCCGAAGATCGACATTGCATCTCTCTTGATTTTATGCAATTCTTATCCTAAATATGTTTTATATACCAAACTAAACCCATCAATTGTGATAGCAAAGCATATATATGCACAGAGCAGAATTTTCACAGATTGACAAAAATGTCAAGATCTCCAAAATACATTGGAAACAAACAGCTAATGGAGAGTTTATTATTTTTTCTAAGCTTTGCATTCCCTACATTTTGATAGAATTAGCCTGGCAAATACATTTATTCTTTACATATTCTGCAGTATAGTAGGGTAAAACTGATAATAAAGACTTGAGCTATATCTGTCTTGCACTGAAACACAGCAAGGAAGTGAAGAAAATTTTGTCATGTAACCAGGTTTGACAACAAATTGATCTTTAGGGCTGAAGCATAAGCTGGCTCTTTGAAGCCAGAAGCTGCACAGTCTAGATGGAAGTTTTTTTTTTTTTTTTTTTAATAGGATTTGTTATCACAATATTTACTATGCAGATTAGTTCAGTGTGAGGTTGCTTGCCTTTATTATCCTCAAAATATTTATTTTGCATTTTTTGTGGTCCTAAAATAATCTTGAAAAGGAAGGAGTCTCATAAAAAGGACTCCTAGGTAGTGTAGTAAGATTCCATTGTGTATCATATGCTTCTCCTTTTCTGCACCACCTTTCAAAGCAACAACTGTTTTTTTGCCAAAAGTTTTTGTCTTCTAAATCTGTTGAGCTTAAAAAACATAAATGGAATAACTTTTAACATCTACATATCTTTCTTGGAAAGAAGATGGGACAATCTACTTCCGTAGTGATACTGCCTCGGAAACCCAAGGAGGGGTTGCTATGAGTTGGGTCCAACTAGATGGCACATAACGATGACAACAACATATCTTTAATTTGTAGAAACACAGGTTCTAAATTCCTTAAAACAATTTTGCTACTTTTTTAAAAAAACTGTATTCAGTTCTAAATATCATGTCTAAAGCATAAGTGACAACAAAATTCTCTTACAGTTATTACTTTTGACTTAAAAAACAAAACAGACCACAAGTCACTCTTTAATTTTCTTTTACTTAAGCTCTATCTGCTGTCTCACGTTCAAGTTCTCCCAGTAGAAATTGAACATGACCCTGAATATCTATTAGCAATTTCAGCTTACCACACACATTTACTAGGACCATTAAAATTGATGTTTCCCCCACATGTCTGCTAAAAAAATAATTATATGCTAATCTATCTCAAAGCTAAAATTTACGCAAACATGAGTCTGTAAGTTTAGAGACACAAAAATGAAGCATTTCAATCAAACATTTCTTATACCACTATTACATTTACAATCTGCTTCCTGCATTATTTTCCTATGTTCACTCTTTCAAAAAAAATATTATTTGAAGTAATTTATTTACAGGAAATGTTAATGAGATGTATTTTCTTATAGAGATATTTCTTACAGAAAGCTTTGTAGCAGAATATATTTGCAGTTATTAACTTTGTAATTTAGGGGGAATGTATAATAAGATAAAATATATTAAATCTTTCTCTTTCAAAAATTGAATCCAATTTTTCTTGTGTTTCGCAAATGTGAAGAACTTTCATAGCATCACAGGTTCTCACAGTTTAACTGGACTTACTTGATCAAACTTCACAGCCTGAATGGGAATTCTTTGACTATAAAACTAAGAGATGACCCAAGGCAGTTTACTATTACTGAAGGCAGCTTATTTCATGGCAAGACAGCTGTTAATTGTTAGAAAGTATTTTTTTTTTTAATTAAACAAAACTATTGCAGATTGTGATTTCCACTCATTTACCCTTACTTTGCATTCTGGAACATCTAAGGACAAGGGCTCTACATCAATTTCTTCAAAATACTAGAAGATGCACTAACCCTCCCCATAGTCTTCTGTCCAGTCTAAAATTTCCCAAAGTAGAGAAGCCAGCATGCTTAGGATACTGATACATTTCCCTATGGCATAAAAAATCAGCAGAATGTCTTTATGTATGAAGATAAAACAAGTTACTTTTTTCTGAGCATCTCAACTCTGCTTCCTGGGAAGGGAATCTTTGCTCCACCCCTTCAACCCAGATACATCAGGAGTGTTTGTCAAGCAGTACTCATCAATTATGAGAAAGGTGATGTTTTTAAAAGCCCATGTTATATTAGAAATATGAACATGCTGGAAATGTGAAACACAAACACTCTGTGATATCACTCTGTGATAGATTAAGTGCCTGTATGTATGAAAGCTTATGGAAACAGTTCCATAACTAAAAGTCACAATTGGAGATATTTCAAGCATTGCTGAAATAATTCCCACATCACTTAAAGGAGTCTCTAAAGTGTATTTTTAAATAGTTATGAATTTCCTCAAATTAAGACCATTTATACACCCTGGTTAAAGTGTATCTTTAGGCTATAAAAGTCATATGGGGGTAATTTTTGTTTTCCACAGATCTCAGTGAGATGTTCTAAGAAATGACAAATCATCCTGATTTCCCATTTTAGCCACGACTACCCACCAGCCACTCCTCGGAAGGAAGGTTGGGCAATCCTACTTCCGTAGTGATACTGCCTCGGAAACCCAAGGAGGGGTCGCTATGAGTCGGGGCTGACTCGATGGCACATAACAACAACAACAACAAATATATATATATATATATATATATATATACACACATGTATGTATATATTCTTTCTGTAGAGTAAGGGTTTGAGGCAGGAACCAATCAACCACACTCTTTTTCTCACCCAAATTCAGACCATTTGAGGAATAAATTTAAAAAGAAGAACAGATGGCAGATTAGGCTTATTGCTGATAGAGTTAATACTGGAGTTATTGTTAGCTTTTGTTGAATTGGTCCCAATCATGATGACCCCATGCACCATGAATGGGTTCTTGGTCTTGTGCCATACTCATGACCTGCTGCAGATTGGACCATATGATTCACAGGGTTTTCTGTGGCTGATTTTCAGAAGTAGATCACTGGGCCTTTCTTCCCAGTCTGTCTTAGTCTGGAAACTCTGCTGAAACCTGTTCAGCATCATAGCAGCATGCAAGCCTCTACTGACGGGTGGATTGTAGCTGTGAATGAGGTGCCTTGGCTCGAAATCTGACCAGGTCTCCCACACATGGCTCATAGTCATGGGTGAGTAGACATCCTAACTCTAAGGATCAGAAATTGACAGATTCTGCACCTTTTTACAAGCAGCCCCATACAACCTCAATTCTTCCTTTGGGGGAACTGCCTCCACAGAAATTACAACATAGAAGGACAGAAAAGAAAGACACATTTCATTCAGGCAATTAGCTCCAAAGGAGAAGGGGTAAGAAAAAGACTGAGCTAATTATTTTTCATTCACGAATCTCACTTGAAATTCTCCAAAACTGGATAATTCATATCACATGAGAAAGTAGAGTGAGGCTCTATTTATTTATTTATTCCACTCCATATAAATGTAAATGTAAGGACTGAGAAAGGATAATTCTCCTATATCATTCCCCAGATCTTTATATTCTTAACCCATTGTACATAACCATTTGTCTAGCATGAACATAGAAGTTTTAACCAAAATCTTATTAGATATATACTGAGGCAGTCCCTGGTGACGTAATTCCTCCAATTCCAATGATATGTTTGTTATGGATCCTCTTAGGACCACTGGTGGGATTTTATTTTTCTCCCAGATGATTGGAAAATGGACAAGAATTGTACATGAATTAAATGAACACCAAGACTGTTCAATTCTTAGGGCTGGAAAACAAGTTTACATTCTAATTATGTTCTGTTATATTATCCAACCCAGTTTATCAGAGGTTCTACAGTGAGATTAAAAGACACACTGACTATTAGTGCATTGTATAGATGCATTTCAATAATAAAGTCCCAATACATAAGATACTTCACAATATAAATATAAACCATGTTACATTTTTAAAAATTCCCGGAGAGAAATTGAAGTACAAACGTTAAATCTCCTTGCTTAAGATCAAAATGAGTTGAAGTTGCCTATGTTTGAGAAATAAAGTCTGTAAATTTTGACTTCCTCTTGAAATAAAGAGTGCCAACAAATAAAAATTTAACTGGGTAAACTGGAACTCCTTCAGCAACTGTGACCTTGACAGCCACTTACTGGAAAGATTGCAGGTCCTATAAGACCTCAGAGACTTTTACAGTTTGACCACAATCTCTGATATAACTCACTTTTAATGGAGTCCAATGAATTATTAAGACACACAAGATTAACCTAAGGATGATATGACCTTTAGAAAGCAAGACAATTCCTAGCTCTTAGGTAAAGTGCTTTTAGTAGATCTAGGACTCAGCATTGCCAAAAACCATAGCAGAAATTCTTGGATTCTAAATGAAGGAAGATAAATGGA